CAACACAGCTGAAGTCATAGCGAACATTCTTGGTCCTCAACCGGTTCTCGCAGTAGCAGGCAACGCAACAAGTGTTGCAGCTGTGGTATGAACCGGAACATGACTCTACTAACACAGTTTAGTACTGGAAGATAGCGGGAGTAAGTGCAAGAGTGACCGTGGAGACTGCTGCAGACGGTCGGTTGACCAGGAGAGCAGCTCAGATACTCGACGTGACAAACTGAAGCAGATCATGAAGCTGTCTCTGTGGAAGAACAAAGCCGATGAGTGCAATGAAGTCGTGAGAGGAGACGACGCGTTGGTGTTGTTTGACGAGAACTGCTGCTTGAGAATCAGAGCGTTAAGATCATCGCGTGAATTTCTCTCGCTTATTCCCTTTATTAGTGGATTGCCAAGACAAGGTGTCGCTGTCTATGAAGATGAAGCTTATGCACCATCTCGAATCCCTATCACTTTCCAAAGCGACGAAACTACTGGTGACTTCAACTAGCAACTTCAAATAGGTGACCGGTCGTCTGACTCCCCATTGAAAGAGAACCGTTCCTCTGCTCGGCTGTTTCGGTTCGAAGGAAACCATCGCGTCGAGCTACCTGACACCTCGTCAGTTTAGAGTAGCCCGAGAGTATGGCAGCTGCAGAAGCCTTGCTGGCCTATGAGCCCTTGCAACAGCTCCAACACGAGAACTACCTCTTGCGCGAAGAGAATCGGCGACTTCACAGTGAGGTTCGAGAGCTGCTGCGATGGAAAGAGAAGGCTATAGCTCACATGGCTGCGATGGCGCCTGCTCGTCGGCGTGCTGCACGTGAGGTTGAGCATGCAAAACAACTTCAACAGCAACTTCGCACCGTTGAAACTTCACTGAAATCCCGAGGCGCGCTTGAGCTAGCTACAACGGAGTTGGAGACAGAACGTGAGGCTCTTCAGCATCGTATCGAGGTGCTCAAGCGTGAGAATGGTGCGCTGAAGCTTCATAGCGAGCGCAGTAATCGCCGAGCTGACGAAGCTGAAGCGCAACTCGCAGCCATGGGAGAGTCATTTCGTCTTCACCTTGAGCGGCTTGTAGCAATGCGAGAAAGTCTTGATGAGAGTGGGGATGGCAAGAGCAAAAGCAATAAGGAGAATTCAACAGAGACTACGAAGAGCAAGGAAAACAACCCAAGCAACAGTCCTAGCACTACCATTGGTAATCAGGACCCTGGGAAGCCAGAAACTGAAGCGGACGATGCAGATTCATCGTCCTCAGACTCGTTGGGCTCTGCTGCTTTAGTGATGGGACTGGACGCAGTGGCGTCCAAGTGTCTATCGTGGCTCCAGCAGCATTTGGCACAATCATTCGCACAACAACAGCAGAAGGCTTCACATTACGAAGCTCAGTACGAAGAGATGAAGCGATTAAAGGAGCAAGTGCAGGCTGCCGGTCGTATACCGGAAGAGTTAGCTGAACAGCATGCCAAACAGGCTCGTGAACTGATAGAGCTACGCGACGCTCACGAACAACTGCAGCAACGAGTAGCTGATGCAGACAACATGGTGATTGTGCAGCAACAACGTCGAGAGGACATGGTAACGCGGTTGCGTCTCGTTGCAGGCGAGGTGCGTCAGTACTTGAGACTCGTGCGAGGCGAAATTAAGCGCAAGTTTGGCTATCTACCAGAGGCTATCGCCCATGCTGAGAGCTGGGCGAGGATCGCTGAAGCGCTGGAACTGTTGCTGTGTCAGAGTTCAGATCGGTGCACTGCTCAAGCTCGCAGGAAGGCCAAATGAATGAAAGATACCATGTTGAAGTTGCCATATCTGCACTACTACATTATCTCACTAATTTATGGCTATGGCTGTGCTCACGATTAGGCCGATGGACGCTGTCGCTTCCTCTGTGACCTGCGTAGTGACTGATCTTGGTCTTTCGCGGGCTCTTCCTGTGGTTTTTCGTTTTTCTTCTTGGCAGATGGTGGCGTCACGGACTTATCACGCTTCCGCTTCGTAGCAGGAGAGGTTGCCTTCATCTTGCTGTGGACGGAACCAGTTGCAGCTCCGTCGTGCGCCTCGGCATAAAGACACAACTGCACACGCTGTGCTGTCCACGATTCGGCGTTTCCGGCTTTCTCGTCGTCGTTTGCAGCTCGCTGTTCGTTCAGCCACTTGGCCTTGGCGCGTAACTGCTCGGCGAAGCTCAGAAAGTGCGGCAGCGTGTACTTGCGCGGGCCAATAATGCCTTTAACCGAACACCAAGGCGACACCAAAACCGTTAGCGAAAAAACTTATTCCTGAGAAGGACAGACTTTACGATCCGCACCCGCGATCGCCTCCAACGCTTCGTCCGCCATGAACGGCACGTTCTCATCGTACGCTGCCAGCACTGCCGACGCCGTGGCCGGTCCCACCTGAATGATTCACCATGGCGTTTCCAACGTTAGCTAAAGCTGAAGCAGCTGTGGCTTTGAACAGACAGAGTAGTAGATTGGCTGTAACGAACCCCTTTCAGGACACATACTGCATCTGTAGCAGCGCGTAGATCCCCGCTCTTGAGCTCCTTAAACGCGTTCAATGAGGCCTGTTTGACGTCGCTCTCGCTCAACCCCGACACGAATTTCATGAGCTGTGGTCGCCTACACATTGCAGCGAGTCAAGAGGCGGTTTCTATATAACGGAGGACCCATCAGCTGCAGACGCACCATTTTCCCTTCTTGAGTTTCCATTCCATGAGGTGTTGCAGCTCCTGTTGCGTCACGTACGGCTCAGGCCCACGCGCCCGTACAATTGGCGGAAAAGTGGCCAGATACCAGGCATCCAGCGTCGCCAGGTCGCTCTTGTTCTGGAGGTGGAAATGTCAGTGGGTGGCGACTGAAATCCTTTCCATAGAGCAATATCAAACAAACCTGCGCCTGCAGCACCTCGTCGTAGCGAGCCCAGAGCGCCACCCAGGCTGCCTCGGACGACGAGCTCCACAACGTCGTCATGATCGGATTTTCTTGGCGTGGTACACCCCACAGTCGTCACGCTGTGGAATTTAGCGTTTGCTCGTCACATCCATTTCAACCAATCGAAATCGAAACCCGTCGCATTCGCACTTTGAAGCCCGTAGCAGTTTCATCAAATCTATTGAATCAAGGAGGTTCCGTTTCGATGTTGTTTCTGTTACTGACGCAGGCGATGCGATGTCTGACAATACATTCTGGCAGGCATTCTAAAGGATAATCCCTACCCCCTTAACGAAGCAAAGTCCACTCTATATTTATAGCTCTTGAGGCACGTGAGGCATTACCAAAAATTCTAGGCAAGCCTCCAAGCAACTTGCAGCGAGTGCGTGGCCTCTTCGCTGGCTCTTCCTGATCATCCAAGCAGCAGGTAATTGCCACTTTGATCCGCGTGTCAAGTCGGTTGTTGCCTGTCCTCACCAGAGCCGCCTCTAAATCTGTGTCTGCTATTCTTGTGCTTAGTCTGCAATCGGCGCCAACTCCGACACATTGAGACCAGCAGCTACTTTTACATAGGACAATCAACCAACAGGCACTGTGCACAATGGACGAGAAAGAAGCTGCTAAGGCCAAGTTGCTCATTGCAACGCTGCAGAAGTACGGCTACGATCTGGAGGATCCGTCACGCACAAGCTCAACTACCAGCACCAACTCGAGCTCCGATTCGTCCTCCACCGAGTGGAGCCCGGACGACGACGTGGAGCCCGCTGGAGCTCGTCGCTTCAGCGTTACGTCATCAGCCGGTATCTTAGCACTGCGCGACCGTAAGAATCAGCAGAGCGCACTGCACATCGCCGCCAAGAAGGGCCACTTCGACGTGCTGCGCGCTCTGGCCAAGCTCCCGCGACTCTCCGAGCACCTGAACGCCGGCGACCGACACTGCAACACGGCGCTGCACTTCGCTGCCAGTAGTACTCGATCTAATGCGCCGGACCTGGTGGAACTCCTACTCAACTTGGGCGCCAATCCGTCGGCCATGAACGTCCGCGGACAGACCCCACTGGCCATCCACATCATGACAGCCAAGCCCGAGACACCTACAACCATCACCAAACTCTTCATCGATAAATTCCGGCAACTGAAAAACCCTTCGTCTTCATCGACACCTTCATCTCCATCGTCTCCTACCGGTCTCCGTGCTCCAGTCCCGTGTGCCACGCTGAACGAGTTGGTGAGTGGCACCACGTACTTGCACATGGCGGTGGAGCGTCAACTGGGCGAAATCGGCGGTGCGCTGGTGCAGGGAGGAGCCTCTATCAACGTACCGGACCACAACGGCGTCATGGTGAGCGACACGATCCCCAAGAAGCTGCTGGTGAAGCTCATTACCTTCATGACGGAGGGCTCGCAAGTGGCTCCTTCGGACATTGTGCGTGGCAGCTGCAAGATCTGCCGCAACCCGAAGAGCCTGCTGGATCCTCTGAAAGACTGCGCTCTCTGTGGTCGTGCTGTGTGCAAGAACTGCTCGCAGAAGGCGTCGGAGATCCGCAAATCGACCTCAGACGGCAGCTATGCGACGCTCAAAGACAAGGACGAAGGCCGCTTCTGTGCTGTTTGCTGCACCGTCAAGATCCTCAAGAGCAAAAAGCACAACGAACGTGAGAACTTCAACAAGAAGCTCATGGGCTGCGGCATGAAATAGACTCATGGGCGACAAACGGAACAAAGTGACGGTACTTACTTAAAACGGGAGTCTTTGATATTGTGTTGCTTTTGGTGTTCTTGTTGCTCTGTCCTGCGTCTAAAAGTTACAGTGACGAGAGCTTTGTGTACACATTAACCAATGAGTGCATTGTACGAAAGGTATGTGAGCGAGGCGGCTGCGAATACGGCACCAGCGTAGGCAAAAATGAGCGCTAGACGCGGGGAGTAGAAGGCGTCGCGCTCCACGAGATACCCACGTGACACCTCATACAAGAAGAGTCCAGGGACTGTGAGTGCAAGGACGTTACCTGCGACAGAGCCGACGAACGCCATGACGGTGCCCAAGTTGCGTGAGGACATCGAGAACAAGTGCGCGACCAGCAAAAAGGCTACAGTGATGGCTGTGCGGAACGGTAGACTCTCTCGGTCGTGACCTAGACAGCAAATCTCCACGAGTTGACGCAACGGTTGGAACGTCATGGGAGTCTTCAAGACCATGCTGATGCCCAGCGCTAGGCGAGCTCCGTTGATGAGCGTGTCGTTGGCGTCAAAGCCCGTCAGGATGTCGCTTGGCGGTTGTCCGTGGAAGCACGCGTAGCCCAGATAAGCGAAGAGAAGATAGATGAAGAGACCCCACCACACGAGCGCCTTGTGCACGTGTGTCATCTGCGTCTTGTCGTGGATCTCCTGGTAAGCACGCGGGACATTGAGTTGACACACGAAACTCAATGTGACGATGGGGAGTGCGTATGCGAGTGCTGCGAGCTCTGAGTTAAACTCGTCTGCTGGATTCCTCGGGATCTTCGCTGCAAACTCGGGGTCGTTCTGAGCTGTTCGGATACCGAGCGCCACGAGGATGTAGAGCAGACACAGCAGTACTAACATGTTGGCGAAGCGGAGCTCATGGATGGTCTCGGGAAGGCAGAGCGGGATGCCCACGAGCATGAAGACCAGGCTGATGGTCCTGCGGCTCATGATGTCCACTAGGAAAGGCTCGAACAGGTCCATAGCGATGACCATGTAACTCACGATGGCACCGAATAGCAGTGCGAGTGTCAACAGTCGAACAGCCCAGACGCCGGCGGCACCGAAGAGGCGGGAGCTCAGCGCCTCGTATGAGAACTCGCAGGCGGCGTCACAGCACACGCTGAGTATCTCGCAGGCGTGGAAGGCTAACCACGCACTCATGGCAAACAGTAGCAGAGCGGGGACCTGTCCAACGGCCTGTACGACGCCCGGGAGAGTCAAAACGCAAGCTCCCGTCATAGTCGTTGCAAGTCCCAGGAAGGACGAGAAGGCCGACCCCTCCTCTGTGTGACCGGGGGCACGCACGGGCGTGGACAGAGGCAATGCCGAGGTGGCGGTTGGTGCTGACAGCTTCTGCGACGGACTCAGTGCCGCGCTGGTCGTCCGCAGCAGCGGCGAGGACTCGCGGGAGGCCATGAGCGGTGACGGATGCGCAGTCGGAATGACGTCGTTTCGGTGGCTAAAGTCGCGAAATGGTCTGGTTGAACTTTCGAGGACTATAATTTAGTCCAGATTTTGTTATTCTTCAACTTGTTTTGGCCGCGTAATCAGCTTTTAGGCCGAACACGAAAACCACCGCGGTCGAATTTGAGTTGATCATCCTTCGAACGTTGCAACCGTGTTCACGCATGCCAGTAATTAATTGAGGACTGTTAAAGCGTAGAATGTATGCCTTCAATCGGTTGGAAGATGACGGCTACCAGTATCCCAAAAAATAGATTGCTGCAGTATAGTGCGAAGTGTGGTCTTGAAAGGCAGATGACCTCCAACTTGAGAGAGCCGAGTCGACACGCTCTGCCGCATGTGTCCTGCAGTCAAACGAGGCGAGCTGGCTTAATGATGGTCGATAAAGATGGCTTTCGGTCCGATAGCGGTCTTTGCACATTGAGCCTTGTCCGATATGATCCCCATTAATAACGCGGAAGACGCTGCACGTTGTTCCTGCTGGTTTTGCGCCTCGATGCTTTCGTCGCTAGAATGGACACGAACAGTGACTACGCTACTCTTTATGATTGACGAAACCAGTTTTCAATTCACGAGTTCACCCGACACTGGGACGTCCAAGTGACCAACGATATATTGTTACACCACCATATCATACTACGTTTGGAATAACGACAGTGTGATGTTAGTGAGGAGTATATTCATGCAAATGACCACACACGGTATGTATTCCGACCATGTACGTTGGACGGTATCGCTTTCAATTTGAGCCTGGCTCAAGCAGATTCGCTTGAAGCGACTGGTCTGATGCGAATCGCTTCAGACCAGTCGATTTTTTTTACTTAAAATTTCTAACGGATAGCAAAAAACTACGATCTGCATCACGTTCTCGATCCAAGAGCGTTATGCAGATCATAAACATAAATGACGTGCCCGCTCCAGATTACGGTACATGAACCCGTGTATGGTTTCGTCTGATCGCATTGCGTCAGAGGCGTGATAGGCTCCAACCATGGAGGATTTACCGAGAACTAGCTCGATTCGAGGCTCGAGCTCCACAGGCTTCCCGATCGCAAATGCAATCCTTTGTATGTGTACCAGGTAATTCAGCTTGCTCCCGATGACCGCATTCTAGGATTTACAAGCACCAATGAGCAAGGCAATGAGCAAGGTATGGCTCAGCACCGCGAGCGTGACAAGACCCCACTGTGCTTACAATGGCGATCACCAATCACCTCGGTGTCGTTTTCCTAATTCAGCGACTGCATATGACGATGAAGACAACGACTGTGACGGAACGGATACCAAGAACACTACCCAGGCAAGAAATACACTCCTGGCTGTTGGTTTCTGGTCGGGTCCGTGGAGTGGATGGCTGTTCACCTACGCTTTCTCGCTATTTTGCTTTTCGATAAGCCGGTGTGTAGCGCTGTCTGAATTGACCGCGATGTACAGCAATCCCAGGGACAGCACCAACGCCGTCAAGATGGCAGCATTGGGGCTTGGATTTATGGAGGATTTCGTCTGCACGACCTACTTCACATGTACGCTGTGGTTGTTCGACACCGCCAAGCACGCAGTCAGCAGACGTTTTGATTCTAAGAGGTGGCAACAAAGCTGTGTGACGTCAAGAACTATCGGAAATATCGCTACTTTTACAGTGTCATGGTTACTATTCTTCGTAATGATGACGCCTTTCGTCGTAGACTTAGTACTCGTGATTAATCGCGAGATGCGCTTCACCTTCGATCTCGTTACAATGGCTATCAGTGAGAAAGAATTTGTCGGTGCTGCCCCCATTTCGGCCGAAGAAATTCAACGAGGCGTTGTGGCTACGATTCTGATGGTGATGGCCAGTACGGTATTTGCTTCTGTGCGAACAAAGGCGAGTTGGGCCGACCTAACAAACTGGAATCCAGCGCATCTCATTACTGATACACGAAGCGGTACAGTGGCAACTACGAGAGTTGCGAGGGGTTTTAAGTATGTGGAAGTAGCTCTCGAAGAAGGCACCGAGACTGAGGTTACTACTGAAATCGAAGATATCAAGAAGGTCTCCTCTGACAAGGAAAACCGCACCTACCAACGGCTCATTTACCAGCACGCTTTACGGGTCGCTGTCGTTATCGCGGTTCTCGTTGTCATTCCTACTGCTGTGGTGGCGTTACGTTGCGTGTGCTCCCCCCTGGTTGCTTACGTTGGTATGAACGCGACGCTCAATGAATTATTTGGCCACGCTTTGCAGCCAACTCCGTCAGATGCCACATTTACGAACATGAAGGGAGACAAGCCTTGGGTCGAGGCTTTTATCCATCCAACAGAGAAGCACGAGTTGTTTGGAGACGATTCGCTTTACCGACGTACCACAGGTTTTTACGGAGACCTTGCGTTTGATGTCGACGTATCGGAGGACAATCCACCCAACGTTCTAGTAATTGGAGTTGAATCGTTCCGGTTCCGAGATTCGCGCTACCTTGTAGGCGAAGAAGACCCTTCCAACCTGTTCAAGGGCACCAACATGACTATCACACCGAATTTTGATAAGTGGGCTAAGCGCGGGGTTGCTCTCCGTAACGTTTGGTCTAGTACTCCAACGAGCCGTTCACTGGAGAGTCTACTGTTCGCACAGGTACCGTATGATAGCACTCTGAGAACTGGAATCACTGGTGGGAGGAAAAAGACAAAGCTGTCTGGCTTACCACAGCTCTTCAAAGCGAAGGGATACGAGAATTTCTTCACCACTGGTTGCCCGACACGTTTTGAAAACTGGAACGTTTTTCTACCTGCTCATGGCTACGACGTCGTACTGGAATCCAAGGAGATGGCTTTAATTGCAGAAAATCGACTCGGGATTACCCATGACCAATGGTTTGGCAAGGAGCAACGCGCATTCAAATGGGGTGTTCATGATGATGTCAATCTGCGACTTCTAGGCGACATGCTTATCGAAAAGACGAAATTACAAAAGATAAGAGTAGCCAGCGGCGAGTCCAAGAAGCCGTTATTCGTAACGCACTACACCATCTCCAGTCATGCACCTTTCAAAGCACGTCCGAAATGGTACGCGAAAGCTGACAAACCAGACTTCTCGGCTCTTTATGAGGGGGAGAAGAATGCGAAAGACATCAAGAACTACCTTGAAATGCGGCATTTCACAGACCTACATCTAGGAAAACTCATGGACCGTATGGAGAAGGAAGGTATTCTCAACGACACCATCGTGGTCATTGTCGGCGACCACGGCCAGGCACCTGAGGCTGAGGTGACGAATACTCATGAAGAATCAGTGACGCGTGTTGCTGGTGCTATTATTGCTGAAGGACGACTAGGAAATGCTGCTGGTCTCATCATTGAAGACGCTGTTGAGCAGTACGATATTCTCAACACATTGGCCGATATAACTGGTCTGCCTGAAGGAGGTTTTGTGCAGAACGGTATTGGACGCTCACTTAAACGGAAGGTCCCTTTCGGAGAGCGTGTGGTCTTCAGCAACGACCCTAGTCGAAAGATGTCAATTGTACGAGGCCACAGGCGTCTGCGTTATGATCAAGTGACTGCATCGATGATGCTGCACGATACTGAAAATGATCACGCGATGACCAGGGATCTGTTTCCAGGACTTTCAGCCGAAGAGCGGGCTGAATGGGAGTATTGGCGTGACCATGGCCGTCATGTCACCGCGTATTATACGAAGCGGTGGGACAATAATTGCTTACTTGCAGTTAATTGTACTACCCGTACCGATAATTAGACGACTACATGTAAATTTCAAACGCTCGACGTATTGAGCTGATTTAGTGCAGTTTAGCAAGCAATAAGGAAAGGTAGTCAGCTAACATACATGCATTTCATATAATACTACTACGTAGTATCATTATACTTTGGCCCGAGCACTTGGAATAAAATAATATCATTGTCGTCGCTTCCTTAGTGAATTTTGCTAGAAATCGTGCCCGATAGTTGTTTGGTATCGCCAAATCTCTTTTAAAAAACGATAGATGTATTGAAAAATTCCTCAAGTTTCGTTCAAGAGCTCCGATTACATTTTTATTTCCAATAGGTTAGCTGCATCATTCTTTATTGTACGGATACGGCCCATAATATCAGTTTTATGGTGTCAAATATATTGAGTTGTAATATTTTTTCCGACCATGGATTGTAAAAATGCCATCCCGAATAAAAGACCTCTTCTAAATATTTCTATTTAAATAAAAAAAACTAAATTAAAATACAAGCGGTTTGAAAACTATGCATTTGGTGCAGTATCATATAGAACAACTCTTTACGTGTTGACGTGTGCGACGGATTTTAATAGGGCGCTACGTGTTGACGGAGTTTTAGAAAGTTTTCGAAGGTACTTTGAAGGAAACACAACCAAGATATCTAAGACAACGCTGTTTGAGAACAACTAGCCCAAGATGCCCACCAGACAACGTTTCTATTAGGCGTAGCCTACAGAATCTGCAGGGCTCTTTAGTTTATTCAACATAAATAGAGGATCTCGGAACAATCAGGAAACACAACAAGAGACA